TTATTACGTAACAACATCTTCCAAACAACATTTGTTAAAGCAAGCTCTGCAACGAAATGTCGAACAGCACTGTTCATCCCTCAACTCCTTGCGACATAGATAAGCTCTTCCCAGCGTTGGTTGAATGTTTTGTCATCATACTTCTTGGTTATGGAAGTGGAAGACTTGGACTTATTTCTTCTTCTCAAAGCAAAGGCATTGGAAATTTTGTTTCTTTATTTGCTCTKCCAGCTCTCCTGTTYAAAAGCATGGCCGAACTAAACTTAAATATCGTGAATTGGAATTTTCTTTTGGCCATTTTGATTTCCAAGGGGCTGGTTTTTGGTATTGTCGTTCTTCTGACTATTATTCTTGGGAGGCCTCAGAAATATGGTCGAGCTGGTATTTATGGTATATTTTGTACACAATCTAATGACTTTGCCTTGGGTTTACCTTTAAGTGAGTATATGATAAACAAGCAATGTTAATGTGAGGTTCCAAGGGTTATATAAGAATTGGGTTACATAATACCGGGCATAATACAGAGGTCAAAGTGATTTGTTCATAAATCTCTTTAAAGCCATGTCAAAAGCGAAAGTTATCGTGGGTGTTATTTTTGCATGATTAATCAATATTTGCATCCAAACATATTTWGCTATCTTTGAAAACAGATTTTTATCTTTCTCCCAAAAATGCTTAGGGACGATCCATAGTTGGTGCAAGGAATTTTTTTGAGCTTCAGGTGCGTGCTTGCAATTTTTTTGTAAATTTACAAAAGCTTTAGGGGAGATTTTCTCAAAATTTTGCCTTGCAGGATTTTTTTGTTGTTGTCCCTTTAGGCCGTGTAGGAAAGTTTTTGTTTTTTTCAAAACCTTCAATCCCCCCCATGGATCACCCCGTAGGGAAGCAGAGTGTTTTGAACTCCTGGTTCATTTTCATTGACAGGAACCCCTTAAACCCCCCCCCCTCCTCCCCCCTCCCCCTTGGGAAAGAAAAACATATGATTGATTGATAATGATTGATAACTTTATTTAACCATGGTAAATCCTTCAGGTAGATACAATGATAAAAAAAAAATATTAAGAGAAAAATATAATAAGCTATATAATAAATCTACATCTATAAAATATGCACATATAGTAATAAACAAAATAAAAATCCTGCTTTACAAGGATGCCGTGATATAGTGATAATAAATAATATTAAACATAAAAGTGAAATTCACTCGGGAGTGTYAGTATATAGAGCTTTAAMTGATTTCATAGTGGTAGCTTTTCTCACTCCAGCAGAYAAATTGATGTGTTTCAATGCACTTATTCCTGAGGCAACTTTCTTAGATATAGACTGTATATGGTCTTCCCAACTTAGATTCTYGTCAATTATTACCCTGAGAGATCTAGCTGAGGAAGCCTGAGTAATCTGTTTATTATTGATGGTCAAAAGAGGTGTAGTATGGAAACCAGATAGTCACTGTCAAGATCCAATAAGCAGAAATTCTGTCTTAGACAAATTGATTGTCAGCTTATTGGYAGCGAGCCATACAAACACTCTCCTCAGGTCATCACTGACTTTGTCATTAATGTCATCAATATTGTTGCTAGCATATGTAAGGCTGGTATCATCAGCATACATTCTCTTCTATATGTGAATTGACCATTATTAAAAAGCATCCCTTACTGAAAATAGTTGATGGGAACCTTTTGACAAATTGAAGTTGGCAACTGGTCAAATCATTATTGCTTATTGGATTTTATTTTTTTGTTTTCAGTTCAGGCTTTGTATGGCAGATCTATGCCTGAGTTGATCAACTACATCTACCTTCTTGCACCTATATCACTGGTCATTCTTAACCCAATAGGGTTTATACTCATGGAATTCAGTAAACACCATGGTACTGGGCACCATGTAGAAAAACGYCATGTGGCTATGGCAACAATCAAAGGAGTCATCACTAATCCTATCGTCTTCATGACATTTATTGGAATTATTGCAAACTTTGCTCTCAAGCAGAAAATCCCTGAAATATTAAATGGGTTTCTCTCAGTTCTTGGGTCTGCATTCTTTGCAAGTTCTTTGTTATTCCTTGGATTGAAAATGGTTGGAAATATGAAGAAACAGATGGGATATGGACTGGTAGTTCCTTTTCTTCTCATATTCTCAAAATTGTATGTTGAAAAATAGATAAGTAAATCACATGATAATTATATTGAATACCAWAAAGACTGTGACATCATTTTGTTGAAAAAAAGCACCTTTTAAGTTATGTAGCAAAAAAGATCAAAAAGTGATGTTTTCATACTTCTTTGACAGGATGCTACTTCCGCTATGTGCACGTGAARTTGTCCAACTCCTAGATGTTGGAGGAAGMAACCAAACTTTGACWGATACCTGGAGTATGTTTGCTTTTCTTTATGGCACAATTCCAACTGCTCCAACTGTCGTCATTTTTGCTTCAAAGTTTTCTGTTGAAGAAGACAAGGTAAAAGACCTGTATTTCTTGAAAATCAGTGTCWCTCATTGGCATAACCTTRTGGAGCCCAATTACAGATTTCTTAGTGAATTCTCAAAATATCCTTACCATAAAGACTTTTGTCCTTGTTCCAGATTGCCACAAGCATGGTGCTTGGAACGTTCCTATCTGCACCAATATTGTACACCTCMGCAAAAATGATTTCAACAAAATACACACCACAACTTCACACTCATTATCACAGTACAATCAAAGAAACCATCCAAGATTCCTGTGTGGTTAGCATTACTTGTGGGGTAAGGCTTTCTAATTTTAATGTGTCATGTGTGCGTGTATATTCTCTAGAAAGTCCTTATTTTATACAGAAATTTAATATTGTTGATTGATAGCATTTTGCTTTTAGCTTTGGGTGATCGCAATGTTTGTTCTTGGAAGACGCTTCAAGATATTTCCTCAAAGATTTACATTTTGTCTTGTTCTCTCACAGGTGAATAAATTATTTCATGTACTAGACAAATGAAACATTCACCTTTTAGTTAATGGTTTTTGTTTTTCATTTCCTTTTTAATTTCATTCCTTRTGATCATTCTTGTTTAAGGTGGCSTTTGCTATAACATCACTTCTGTGTGATGTGCACCCATCAACTGCTTGGCATTGGGTATCATTTCTTTTTGTAAGTGTGACAGAACTTCTCTGTCATTGCTGGACAGCAATGGTGCCATTTGCACTTTACCTTGTCAGGTGYGATGGTAAAATGAAGTTTTGGMAACCTTGGATTTACTCTTATGGATTTGGGTTAGTCTTGTATATTGTTTTTCAATTTTTGAAAATATTTATGTCATTTCCCTTGTTTGCTTTTCCTTAAATGGCATATTTTTGAGCATTGTCATGTATTTATTCATTATTTATTCAGTTTCGTATATGTATTCATTAGCAATATTTATTCTCCTATCAACTCATTGAGGCATGCAAGCAGTCATTTGTTTTTTTATCCATCTTTCTTTCCATACTGTACTTATTCTTTTATTCATGCATCCATTTATTTTTTGTTCTAATTTTTTCATTTAGGATCCCTTTTATACTTACGGGCATCAAGATGTGTATTGTGGACCTTAACCAGCCYGAGTCAGACACCCAGGCCTTCATATCATATGCACAGAATCAGGTYAGTCAAACCGTATTTGGAATCAACCAAGTCTTTGTGGGTTGGATTTTGATTCATGCTTGTTAAGGCCTGCAGGCTGCATACAAATCAGGGAGTTTTGTGGAAATGTGGAAATGCTCATGCAGTTGGCTAGTTCATTGAATTTATGTAAAATAAACAGAATTAGTTGCCCTTGAAACATTTCATTGTGAAGTTTCCAATAATATCTGACTGAATTTCCTTTCAGATGCCTTGTCTCATAATTCAGGTTATTTGTCTTGGCTTGAATCTCATTATCATCATCATTTCCCTGGTGAAACTTCAACRTTGTGACAGATATTGTAAATGTCCATCAAAATTAAGATGTCAAACATCATCTCTTAAACTGTCAGCAGAAAACAATGAAGACAACAAAGCAAGGTCAGCATCCTTATTGATTCACCCATTACTTTTTTCTCAAATTGAAAAAGAGAATTGTTTTTGTCCTAGATGTAACAGTTGTAAAGAAAGGCARAGAAAAGGGTCTTCRTCCTCATCTGTGGATATCAACAGATGCTGCTCAGCTGATGTTCAGCCTCCAACAAGACCTGTAGATATTGAAAGTCTTGATGAAAGCACATGCCTAATCAGTGGAGATGCTGTAAGATATGTTGACTGTCAGTCTAATGATATTGAGAAGATTGAAAATGAASTAAGCCTTGAAGAGTACTATGATGGGGACAAACATCAGCTTGCACAACAYGTGATCATGGTGCTTTGTCTTGCCTTTTCAATTTGTTTGGTGAGTATTAAATAATGTTAGGTGGTGATGCAGTCAGGAGCTGGATGACAAATATTAACTTGGCAAATAAAAGGCACATTGTGAATAGAGACTGGGAATAAAAAAATAGTACAAAGAAAGAAAGAAAAGTGGGCACGACACGAAAGAAAGCCGGATACGTAAATAATGAAAAAAAGAAATTGCATAAGAAAGGAAAAGAGAAAAAATCTATAATAGAAATGAAAAAAAAGCAAACAAACAAAAGAAGACGAAATAGATAACTAAGGAGGCATCATGAGAGGCATAAAAACAACAACAACAAACAAAAGGGGAAATTCTTGTAGTATTAATTAGTGCATATTTTTATCTAGGCTCTGTTCATGTCGTTATGGTACTTATCAGGTGAATCAAGGAAGAGTGGTTTGTTTATAGGAATGAGAGTCCTGGACACCATTTTCTTATTTGGACAGGTAAGGACTATTGGATAGGAGTGAGTATTAGTAGATTGTCCATAGTTTGTTTGTTTCTGAGGGAAGGGTTACTTCCTATTGTTATTGTGCGACTATACGTAAGGAACACGACAGCCATAACACTGAACGATTGGGCGTGAACTCATTTTAGATGATGAGTAAAATAACATGCAAATTAGAATTGCGAGAAGATATACGCCTGACTAACTTCGAAATAGCAAAATAGCGTTTCTGCTCGTAATCATCTTCTAGAACTCATTAATAATKCATGAGCTATTTGTCCAATGTGCATCGAACTATTGGGTCACATGATGGGCCTTTATATCCCCTTCTGCTTATGTCCCGACCGGCGCGACATTAGATGCCATTGAAACTGAACAGTCACAAAGGAGTGTTCACACTTTAGTACGTTACGCGTTGCCATTTCTCACGCTTAAGAGAGAGCGATTTCCTATAACGCGTTTTATATGGAAATGGAAAAAGCTTGTACTTTTTAATTACTTTTTACCATATTAATTGGTTTGCATATATGACATTTACGAGTGTGAGCATAGCTGGACGGCAAGTGTACAATATGTGAATAATTACTCAAAAAATAAAATTCAACGCTATTTCTAACAATGTATTATTCCCAACAGGGATTCATCTCGTTTGCTTGTTTTGGAATGGACAAACAGCTTATTATCATCCCATTTCTAAAAAGGTACAATAGATTGGTGGTTCGCTTCCTAATCATTCTTGATTCAACCGTCATTGTGATAKAAATGTTGTGCATATCTTCAATGGGAAAAAAACTTCCCAAAAAAAACTCCCGTATAGTTCAATTATATGTGCTTTGCTTTTTCTTCTATAACATGCAATGATGACTGCGAGGAAGAATAGGAACATTTCTGTTTCCATCCAGCGTGTGCGTTTTTTAAATTCTCCCTGAAAAACGTAGTTGCATTTTCCACAGATTTCGTCGCTTGATTTATGGAGCTGATAACGTTGTTCTACCCAATAAAAGTGACTTAACTCCCGAAGAGACTCAAATATGTGAACAGTTCATAAAACATCACAAAGCTAAATGCAAAAAGGCTTTTAAGGGAAAGAAAAGGTCAGTAGTGGAAGTCATCGTTTCTACTATAAACACTGCCTTTGAATGTAAAGATTGATGGGATCCGTATCATCGTAGAATGCCATATAAATAAATTAGTTTTAACTGATTTAATGTCGTTTTCCTCTAGCTATGGCCTTCGTACGTACACCAATGTATTCAGTGGCGAGGAGTTAGTCACGTGGCTTACGGATCTTGGATTAGCTGATGACCGTGTTTCTGCTACGAATTATGGGAACACCTTACTTCGAGGTCGCGTTATCGAGCACGTGACCAAAAAGCATTCTTTCTACGACTTGCCGTATTTTTATCGATTTTGTTAGATTTAGGCAGTTTGTAGATGATTTTGCTACCAAAAGTATTGATCAATTCCAATGTAAATGCTGTATAATGTATCAGGATGGATAGCTTACTTTATCGTTTATACAGATCAAATAGAATATTTTCATAATTCTTTAATATTTAATTTATAATAAAAAGAGAAAAGGGGGAGGGAAGAATTATTTAAAGTTGGAGTGYAAGCACTAAAATCGTGATAGAAAAATATTACAAAATATTGTCCAATAAACATTATTAGTATTCGTTTCACGGAATAAGTGTGTCTGCTCTTAAATGTCAATTCATTGATAAAGTAAAATATTTTTTTATTATTTTGTCTTGAAGTAATAGCAACATTCCAATTCTTGAAAACACTTTGAGTTGGTTTGATAAMCCCGGTAATTTAAGAGAGTCACAAACCCGTGAAATAAATTGATGCATTGAGTGTGATAGTGTCATAAAAGAAAACAATGCAATATGTGTGTCATATATGTTTGACGGCTTTAAAATTACTTCACTCTATTCAAGCTGTAATAAAGTGTGGGAAAGACAAATGAAAAATTTGCATAATAGAAAGTAGTACACCTAATTGAATTACCACCTAATTAAATTAACGTCCGCGGGTTGCAAAAAGGTGATGTCATCGAAGTTAAAACCAAAGGGGATTTTAAGCCAAGGGCGCTAGAACTGAAATTATGACCTGTAAGTAAGGACGAGAAGTTGCTTAATTTATCCAACTTAAGATAGTCGATAATAAATAAAGTTTTACTTATCTGGAATGTATCCTGAATATGTAGTCTAAGCCACTAAAAAGCCCTTGATTTTACGAAACTCGTTCAAATGATCGTCAAACGGTAGTGTTGCTGAATTTAATACCGCTGTCCTTTCTGTACCAGCCACTGCTGTCTCGCCAGGAGCGTAATTCATTAACGGGATTAAAATCACTTAGCTGCCTGTGGTTACTAGTAATACTTACTTTCCCATGATCCCTTTCGGTCTTACATTAAACGAAGTGATTTTTTTTCATCCGATTAACTTGATGGTGATGACTTCTGCTGTGTTTGCATCTTCCGATCAAAATAAATGCTATTTATATTAGATTGAGTTATGTAATTAACTTGCTTATTTTGCTCAAATCGGCAAGTTTTATGTTGGACATTCACGACATGTAAACGGAAAGAGGAAATGCCGCTCAACCTAGCTCTGGTTGCAAATCAACATTCCAGATTTTACAAATATTTCATGTTTACAGTTCTGCCGCAAAATTAATAAGCCAAGACACAAAYCGGCCACAATGCCCGCAGGCTTAGTATTAATTTAGCTGAATAATGGACTGCGCTTTCACTAAATAAGTTTTGGAACACCGAGAATTGTCGCTTCTGTAACTGGCTGTAGCGGAAATATCTTAATAAAACCCGGGGCGATTTCAATTTCGTTGGCAAATCATTAACGAGAGTTGGTTAACTAATGAAGGACTGAGCATGATCCACATAGAGAGGCACTTTTGGAACCAAAAGGTCTGACAAAAATAGTAATGCAAATAGAAAGAATAGATTTAGGCAATTAGTCATTACAATAAAGGTATTATTATACACGTATTTTAAGTCGGTTCTCTCGGTGATCGGTATAAAATTATTATTTTTTACTATTTTATGCTGCCGCACAATGTTTGCTTCGACTTTCAATGCCCGCAGTTATTGCTGCATGTATTTTCAAGTGATGTATTAAACCAGTATTGMCATCTTATAATTTTATTAATTCAATTTCCGAAAATGACACTATTTGCGGTTTGATGCGAAAATTCATCGTCTTAGCGTACCGCCAGATATGAATAGATTGCGCATGCCCATGATGCAATTAAATCCTGGCGAATTCAAAGAAGCCTGTTTGACAATTAACCTCTGAAAATGTGACCTTCTTTGTGAAGTAGGAAGGTGAAGTTTAGTACTCTAGTGCAAAAACCGCATTATTCGGCTGCATTACAAAAACATTGAAATTTTCGCGAGTAATCATCTAGTGGCTGACCATTTCCAGTTTGATACAAATACATGTGACTAGTAGAATCCTARTAATCGACCAGCTGTGCGGAGAAAATTCAACAAACAACCTAATGACGYTGTAGTTTATAAAAAACAAGTAGCTTTTCAACGTAAGCAGTTACACTTTGTATGTTTTATTCATCTATAACAAAACACCAGACAGCATTTCTTGAAGAAGATAACAATCTCCGGATACACATCTCAAGTAATTCTAAATTGGAACCGCGCAACTATGTGACCCTCTCAAAAATACAGCTCATCATACTGGAATTGTCATCATACTACAAACCTGTTTGGCTCAATTTAAAAGAAACCAACAAGAGCTCATTACGTGTCGTCTTTTACCAAATCTTRCGACTAAGGTGAGCATTGAATTCTTTTAAACCCTTAAGATTTTAGTATTTGTGAGAATCGTGGTGTGGGAGCATCGACGACAATTTTAACATTTCTGAACTGACGTACTTTGATGTAGGATCAAAATATTCTATCGATACGCTTCTTATGAACACTAAATGTTGACTTTGTATGTGTTCATTTTCATTGCTGGTTGATCAAATTAGRTMATAGTTTAAATCTGTGCCATGTTTATAATGGCAAAAACAGATACATCAACATAAAGGATGCCAGATTTTCGTTAGTAKTCCGCGGAATGCACATCAAAAAGGGAAGACACCGGACGTCATGGAAGACAGTAACAAATCATCATAAAATAACCCTCTCATGATATTTGACTATATTTCTCTGAACCACACATACATATTCTGTCTACAGTCTATAATAGGGGTGGGGTATTAAAACTGTCTAAAATGTCCATACTTTTCTTCATACTTTTTTTTGAAAAGCGTGTTCACTTTTATTAATTTTGACATTAAAATTGATTATTGAAATTGCGTTTTCGTTATCCGTATTAACATCATTTAATTCTTTCTTTGTCGGTTTGTATCACTAACTGTRTTAGAGGACTTCAAACCGCATATAAAGTAGTCATTTCTCTTTAAATGTGAATGATTTCAAACCATCGGCGAGAGACCTTCGGTCGCGTGATGGTCGATGATATAGTTTACCCTGTGAACTTGATGAACCTGCAGTTACTTTGATTTAATTTGGCCTGAGGATAGTTATAACCAAATCAGCTCTAGTTATTGACATAGTAACGCCCACTGAAGACGGACGTTTATGTTATTACAATCCTTTATTCTACCTGCCCAAGGAGAATATCTGCGAAGGAGTGTTCTGGCAAAAATGGCGTTGGTGCCGATTCTAAACTGTGCAGGCGTTTTYGAACTTTATCTAAAAATAGAACCAGTGACGCATTTTCCACAGAATGGGCTTCTCGCACGACAATGTCATCTTAATCATTTGATAAAATGGAATTTTTTTTATAGAGGGCCCTATTAGGGTTTGTTCTGAGTATATATTTCTATGGCGAACATTGGAAGAAATTCTTGCGTTGYAGACTTACAACATATATAGAACTGCTGCCAGACGATGGATAACTAGGCATTCGTTAATAGCCAACTATCGACCAGGGCCAAATAAGCCATAACCTTGTAATCAGTACAGGAGAAACCTACTATCTCAGCGGTCAAATCTTAATTTTAGCATATCTCACTTGYTGTATTCCGCATTCATTGGATTAATCTATGTACATCGCTGACTGCTGAGAAGAAATGCACCTTTTGCGCAAGACTCGCATCTTGCGTTGTGTAATGAATTAGTCACCTGCATGAGCGCAGGCCCATGGAATCAGAAAACTTGGTAGATACTTTTACTCGGATTCGAGTGTTACTAACAATTCTTATATCGTGAGTTCAACATAATATGAAACATTGATATGACATTGGGTTGAAGTGTAAAAACATCACGAACATGCACGTTAACAGGGTTTATTATCACCTGATGCAATGGAATTGGAACCATGACTTTCCTCTATCTGTCGAAAGCCAAGGTGCTTCGAATTCATAGTGTAATGTGTAATAATGTTATGTGTAATTCTAGTTATGAATACACTGTGAATACTTTCAATGGGTGGGCTTTGTTCACGTGATGTTATCCTATTCTTATCATGCACGTGCAACAGTGGAAACCTCTTTATTTAAAGTACATTAATTGTAATAAGCCGTTTAATTTTTAATCCATATTAATCCTAAAGTCGATTTATCAMTGTTCGCGTCCAAGATCCATTGGAACACATGATTTTGTTGAAAAACTCTGTTTCACTAGTGAACTGAAGTTATGGTATGAAGACATATTGAGTATTTGGTAACGCAATGACGTTTTATTGCCGTTTGTCACTTCGCCATATTCCAGTTTACTKTTAAACTATTTCCTGACAGGCATCGTACTAGGGACTGCGGCATGTGCTTTTGGGTYCTTTTGGTCAGACTCTTTACTTACGTTACTTACTTTGGATTTCCTGTGTTGRGAAAGAACACRATGTTTTCCACAGGAACTCCAACAAAACAGCTATGCGAATGCATCTCTAAATGCATAGAGAGCCTATATGTGTGTAGTGATACGGTTCAGTGTAGACKGAAGATCTCCTAATAGGAGTGTCCTCTGTAGCTAGRGGCCATGTTTGTGCAAACGTGTCGAACTTCAGCTATYACTTATAGCCGAGTTATACTGAGCCGTAGTTTAATGACCAGAGATGTGTCACGTGCCATCATGGGATATGACATCTGCACTTTAACTTTTAACTCGTTTTTAAGATTTAAGMTTGAAATAAGGGGGGAGCAAACAGTACAAACTAGGCTAGATTTCAGGACAATATCACATATATGGTGCTAATAAAGAGAGAGAAAAAGCGCACTTATTTTTTGATAATTATTCGCAMTTATTTTTGGGTTTTATTTGAATCCCGCCCAGCAGCACTTCGGTCTTACTTTGTTAATCAGATCTCCTCTTCTAAAGCGAAGACCAGGCGAAAATGTGCTCGCAATTAAAGTGTACGTGAACAGTGCATACATCAAAATTCTAATATTTTTGTCACGTGATTCTATTCTTGTTCCCATTGTTAAGGACAAGAAAGCCGCATTAGGAATTCGTGTATACTTTAAGCCGGAGTTTTGGTTGTATAAATGACGCAAATACACCATTTGGACAGAAATGATGAAGATGGGCAATCTCTGTTTCATCTTCTAAATCACAGTTGTAGACAAATCTAATATGATTCAAGTTTTTCCGTAAACAGCCTTGTGCGTAATAATAACATAACCTCACGTTCGAGTCAGGTAAAGCACGAACCGTACTTACACCATTACACTTCCTACATTGTTGCTTATAATTGATTAACCGATATCGAAAGACATTTGTTTTTTTATGTTTTTGTAGTTCATAAAAAGTGKAATAAACCAAGCTTGAAGAAACATACACTTGCGTCAGATTGTGCATCAACAGGAATAACCGGAAGTCTGCCTTCGTATAAGACGTCACTTCCTGTTTCCATTGCGATATATATATATGGTGAGCAAGATGCAGGACCAAAACGTAACCCCTGACGAAGACGTCAACAAGTCAAAAGGATCCAGCGGTTCTAAACCTCCTAGRAAAATAAGTGGTTCACACATGCCTGTTAGCAGAAGAAATATTTGTTACCTTTTCCCAGTATCAGAAGATGGTGACAGTACGCCGGTAGATGTTAAGTAAGTGACACTTCATTGCAACATTGATATGAAAATCAGATAGTATATAGTTTTAATGTAGTTTTAAAAACTTAGAAAAATTTTAT